GGCGCCCGCCACAACGCCTGGCTATTTTTTGGTTGCAGCCATCGTCGTTTTTTGGCGGGCTGGGCTGGATTCAAACCTGCCACCTTAGGTGTATGTGGTTGGCGCCTTAGCCACTTGAGCCACAGGCACCAAGCCACAACTTTTAAACTGTAATATAATTAAGATACCATAATCCCGTTCTTTTAAAGTGCATAGTTTAGTGGTGGGTTTTTTGTTTGTTTTTGGAAACAGAGTCTCTGTTATACAAGCCAGAATGCCCCAGCCTCAACCTAGCTTACAGCAACCTCACTCTCTTGGGCTCAAGGGATCTTCTTGCCTTCAGCCTTCCCAGTAACTGCCCAGCTAGTTTTTCTATCTTAGTAAAGATGAGGTCTTGCTCTTGCTCTTGCTCAGGCTGGTCTGGAACTCCTGAGTTCAAGCAATCCATCCACCTTGGCCTCCCAGAATGCTAGGATTACAGGAGTGAGCCACTGCACCTGGCCATCAGTAGTTTTTAGTTCAGAACCATCACTACTAACTTTAGAACATTTCATCATCACAAAAAGAAATTCCCCTACACCTCCAGTCTCCAACCTCTGGCAACCACTATTTTTTCTCTGTGGATCTGCCTATTCTGGGCATTCCATATAAAAGGAATAATACAACATGCAGTCTTCGTGATTAGCTTTGCTCACACATGACGTTTTCCAGGGTCATTCATATTGTAGCATGTTATCCTTCTTTCCTTTCTATGGGCATTCCATTGTACAATTGTATCATATTTTGTGTATCCATTCATCAGTTGATAGACATTTGGGTTATTTCTATTTTCTGGTTATTATGAATAATGGTGCTATGAACATGTTTGTACAAGTTTTATGTGGACATGTTTTCAGTTCTGTTGTGTATACATCTAGGAGTGGACTTGCTGGGTCATATAGTTAACACTACAGTGAACATTTTGAGGTACCAGCAAACTATTTTCCAAAGCATTGCGCCATTTTACATTCCCACCAGCAATGTACAAGAATTTGACTACCAGGCGGCGACTGTGACTCAAGGAGTAAGGGCACCAGCCCCCTATACCAAAGGTGGCAAGGTTCAAACCCGCCCCAGCCAAAAACTGCAAAAAAAAGAAAAAAAAGAAAAAAAACAAACAAAAATTAAAAAAAAAAAAGAATCTGACTACATTTTCAACAAATGTTTGTTATAATTCCTGAATAAGAAGAGAAGTGTATTCAAATAAAAGTATTTTACTGCTGAAAGTTGTTGGGAAAACCTAAATAGTGTCATCTCTATGTTCTAAAACAGGCGTCCTCAAACTGAGGCCCGCTGAGGACATTTATCCAGCCAGCCCAGCCTTTTTGTCAAGGCTGCCTGTCCTGCCTAGCAGCCAATTCGTCCTGGGGCCCGCAGTCTGGCCCTCCAATGGTCTGAGGGACAGTGACCTGGCCCCCTGTTTAAAAAGTTTGAGGACCCCTGTTCTAAAATAACAAAGTAGTTCTAGGATGGCTGGCTCCAGACCTATATAGGTCTCTAAAACCTAATTTTTTTTAAACAGTCTTATTTTACACATAACAGTTCACCTATTTCGAGTATAGAGTAATTTTTTAGTAAGTTTACTGAAGGGTACAGCCAACACTGTAAATCAGGTTAATTACAGTAAACTGATTACAATAAAATCTCATGTTCATTTATAATTAATCCTCACTCCCAAACCAGCTCACCACAGATCTACTTTCTGTCTTTATAAATTTGCCTTTTCTGGATACTTCATGTAAGTGTAAGCATATAGTATGCCATCTCTTGTGTCAAGCTTCTTTTACTCTGTACTTTGAGGAATACTTAGTTACTTTTTATGGCCAAATAATAATCTGTCATGTGCATATATTCTATCCATTCATGAACTGACAGATATGATTGTTTCTACTTTGCGGTTATTATATACAGTGGTACAATAAATGTTCATGTGCAAGGGGAAAAAAAGAGAGAAAAGTATACCACATTGTGTAAAGAATACTACATTAGGCAGGGCCGATGGCTCACGCCTGATTGCTTGAACTCAGGACTTGGAGACCAGTCTGAACAAGAGCGAGACCCCGTCTCTAAAAACAGCCGGGCGTTGTGTGGGCGCCTGTAGTCCCAGCTACTTGGAAGGCTGAGGCAAGAGAATCGCTTAAGCCCAAGAGTTTGAGGTTGCTGTGAGCTATGACGCCAGACACTACCGAGGGAGACAAAGTGAGACTGTCTCAAACAAACAAACAAACAAACAAAATATCGCGTTAACAAAACAGAACTACGTCTGGCAGGAATAAAATGTTACAGGTCCAAGTATATTAAGCAAGTGAGTTTCTGGTTCCTTATTCCGAAAAAAAGATGCTGTAATGACATCTACCTTGCAGTCGTGTTGAAGATTAAATAAATCAATCCATGTAAAAGCACTTTACAACACTAATTATTGATGATTCAATCCCAGGAAAAGCATTAGGGGCGAAAGGTTCGACGCCCAGATCCCTCCCCCTCATTCAGGTCCCTTCCCCGCGGAGGGGGTTGCGGAGCGACGCCGGGGGCTGCAGCCGCTTCCCGTCTCGGGGACAGCCGGCCTGCCCAGCCACGCAGGATAAATTGTGAGAGCTCGAGCAGCGGAGGAGCCGTGTCACCTCAGCCCAACATCGCTCCCTGGAGAACGATCTAGCCGCCTGCTATAAGCTTAGTAAATCAGCGCAGAATCCTTTTTTTTTTTTTTCCTTTTAAAATGGCAATAGTCACATTTGTTGTGGTCGAAGCAGAAAAGGAGGCGCAAAGAGAACACCAGCTTATCTTCCCACCTATGTTCCCAGTCTCAGACCCCCCAACACCCTCCCATAGGAAAACAGATAGAAAACCGGATCCATTACGCACCCAGAGGTATAACAAACCCAGTGCTCCTTACCTCCCCCAAAGACCCCGCTATACGATACCCCTGGGACAAATGGTGCAAAGTTCACCTGGTGGTTTCCTCCAGTTCGACCCGGCTCCGGCCAGGCGCCCGCAGAAGGATAGTAGCCATCGCTTCCTTCGCCTTCTCCTGGCCAGGTGGTCTCAACCGGGCCGCCCCCGCGCACCCGCCAGGAAATGGGAGGCTGAGGAGGTTCGGGACGAAGAGAATATATGGGTGGAGGTGGGTGCACTGGCACATCTCCACCCCCAGGCCCGTAGTAGCGGCCGTAGGACGAACCATCACTGGGGCCGTAGCCCGAGCGCCTCAGGGCCGACATGGGCTCCACTGCCCCCCAGCGCTTCCCGCCCCCCACAGCCGGCCCATTGCGCAGGCGCCTGCGGGCGGCTGAGACTGGAGAGCGGTGAAGGAGGTCGGACAACGACAACCAATCCCAGACCCGGTCCCGCCCCTTCTGCTGCGGAGCTCGGAAAGTTGAGGGACCAAGGTCCGTGACTCTGCGGGCCAGCGTGGGGAGACACGATGCTCCCTAAAAAGAGGGATACATTTCCCTGCCTTCTATTTAATCTCGATTCCTCTTCCCCACTTATCACGGAAGAGCGAAGTATGTTCCGGAACGGCACGACCGTCCCGCCTCTTCCTGAGGACCTGCACGCGATCCCGGAAGTGGGTGGGGATGATATGGAGGCGTTTCCGGTGGGCCCTGGCGGTTGAAAGCCGGGGCAGAAGTGCTGGTCCGGGTCGGGATTCCTGTCCCGGTCCTGCCGACGCGGCGACTGGAATAAGAGGAAGGAACCTTGGGACGCGTTGGCTCACGGCAGCCTTATTTCAGAATGAACTATATGCCCGGCACCGCCAGCCTCATCGAGGACATCGACAGTGAGTACTTCATCTCGCGGTGAAGCCCGGAGTGAGACCCTTCCTCCCGGGCGGGCGCCTTTTCAGCAGGAGCCTGTAGCATGAGTCCCGGGCGGGGTGGCTCTGTTTTGAGGTCAGTTCGGGGTGTTCTGCGTTGACACCCTCCCCCGCACGGGACCCTCCACTTGCCCACCCACCGGCCTGCTCTCTGTCTTCTGCCGCTCACAGCCTCCCTCCTCTCCGGGCCAGCGAGCCATGAGCTTGGCATTCGCTCTTCACGTAGGTCGCAGCAGCGGAGACCCGAACGCAAAAGTGGCCCAGGGGATTGTCTCCCATCTGCAGTATTTCGAAGAACCAGTTAGACAAAAGACTCATTAAAAAGCGAAAATATTGACCTGGCGCTGTGGCTCACGCCTGTAGTCCTAGTACTTGGGAGGCCGGGGCAGGTGGATCGCCGGAGCCAGAGAGAGACCCCGTCTCTAAAAACAGCCGGGCGCTGAGGCGAGAGAATCACTTGGGCCCTGGGGTTTGAGGTTGCTATGAGCTTTGACACTATGGCACTTTACCAAGGGCGACAAAGTGAAATTCTGTCTCAAAAAAAAAAAAAAAACGAAATTATTAAGACAGCAGCAGTTGGGTTTAATTGGCAGCAATCTTCTGTGAAGACTTACTAGCACTATCAGGTTACAGTCGTAGAGACCATTGCCAGACATGGTATTGACTTTTTTGGAAAGGCTAAGTCACTTAAAAACTTTTTTCTGTTAGACAGTTTCTCTTGCTTTACTAAGAAGACCTCCCTTCTTATAGTTATTGTCCTGAAGGAGAGTTTGGTCCTGTACAAAAGCAAGAGGAAGCACTTACAGTTGCCATGTCTTTTCGTTTTTCTAAATCCTCATCTGTACGTTCTTCCTAAAGCAACATTTTTAATCGTTTTAATCGTGTGATTTGCCATGTTAACTTGTAATTGCTGGAAAATGGTTTACCTACAGTTTGAAACAAGTTACAACAATCTTCATAGTTAATGTGAGGATGGAAATTCTATGTGTAAAATCTTATTTTATGGATGTCTGAGATAATTTTTTAAACCCAAATTACTTGTTTTGCTAGAGAAGGGACATGCAGTTTAATGTAATATATTAACCTCCTGTACAAACTTAATGGTGATATATAATAAAATGTTCTATTTTACTTGTTTAATGGCGCTCTTTTGTTGCCCTCACCTCTCCTTATAGATATTTCTGAATTATTTCCATTCTGTCATTTTACTAAGTATTATTTTTGTTCTCAAGCCTATAACCCTTACCTTCTTGTAGATTCCAGATCCCCTCCTTTATAGAAAAGTTGAAACCATTTGGTATGCATCCTTCACTCCTCCACCCAACGCACCCTTTCCTCTCTCCTCAGTCTGCATCTTCACTCATCCTCTCATTTGCGGAAGAAGTATTCCTCCCCTCCTGTTTGTGTCTGTTATTACACTCTGCTTCCACTGCTTCTAGAACCTTTTTCCATTGTTACCTGCTTATTTTTATATCTTCTCTTTTTGTTCCTCTTAAGTCTGTCATTTCATATATGTTATTGTCTGCCCATCTCAAATGTTTTCTCAATTCTATCTCTTCATCATACTCCCATCCCTTTTTCTGTATCATTACCTCAAAACCTTCATTTTGACTCTGCTTCCTGACACCTTCAGTAGAACACTTCTATTACTTTGCAGTCTAATTTTTGTTATCAACACACATCTGAAGCTACATTATGCAAAGTTATCAGTCTAATGTGTTCTTCTGAGTTCTCTTCCCTCTGCAGCATTGTGATACTGTCACAACTAGACTCTTAATCCTATTCTCTTGATTTTTCTAACACTTGTATTTGCTGATTTTCTTACCTCTCTGGCACTTCTTATTTTTTTATTGTTCCCTCAGAGTTGATGGTCTCTTAGGTTGCATGTTTGGCCTGCTACTTTAAATTTGTAAATCTCCTGGACTTTACTAATTCTTTCACCTTTTTACAGATTTATCCATAATTGCCTCCTCTAGTCCTGACCTCTTTGGCATTCCAGTCATAATTCTAACTGCTTTGCTGACACTTTTATGTAGGTGGCCTAATAGCCCTTCAGAATCACAAAATGACTCACGAGGAGCTGATAACCTCTACCTTGAGCTTTTTCCTTTTATTCCCAATTTTTGGTAAATAGTCCTCCTTTTGCTGAGGACTCAAAGCTTCTTTTTCTGTAACACAGTAACACCCTGTGTTCTCACACCCAACAACATGTATAAACTCAGTTGATAAACTGCATCACTAACAACCTCAGAGTTTTAGGTCTCATCTTCTCCCTTCAAACCTCAACCGTGGTTCAGGTTTCTTCACGTCTCAAATAGACTCTGGGAATGGTCTCATAACTGCTTTTTTCTGTGATCAATCTTTTTTTTTTAATTTTTCCTTTTGAGACAGAGTCTCACTTTGTTGCCCTTGATAGAGTGCTCTACATCATAGCTCACAGCAACCTCAAACTCTTGGGCACAAGCAATTCTCTTGGCTCAGCCTCTCAAGTAGCTGGCACTGTAGGCACCCACCACTAGGCCTAGCTGTTTTTAGAGAGTCTCAGGCTGTTCTCAAACTCCTAAGCTGAGAAAATCTATCTGCCTCAGCCTCCCCAAGTGCTATGATTATAGGTGTGAGCAACCGTGCCTGGCCCCATTCTTTAACATTTTCTTGTTCCTTGTGAAGTCCTATGCAAATCCAGCCTGCCCACAATACTTTTCTGACTTTATCTCCTTTTTTTTTTTTTAATTTTTTGAGACAGGATCTCACTTTGTCACCCTGGGGTAGAGAGCGGTGACATCATAGCTCACAGCAATCTCAAACTCTTAGGCTCAAGAGATCTCTTGCCACAGCCTTCCCAATAAGTGGGACTACAGATGCCTGCCATAACCCCCAGCTAATCATTCCTATTTTCAATAGACACAGTCTTACTTTTGCTCAGGATAGTCTTGAACTCCTGAGCTCAGGTGTTCCTCCCATCACAGCCTCCCAGAGCCCTGAGATTACAGGTGAGCCACCACACCAGGCTTTTCTCTCCTATTCTTTCCCTTCACATCTTCAACTTTTAGCCAAACATACAGATACGTAGTTCTTTTTTTCCTCCTGTCCAATTACTCGGTTTCTCTGTAGTCTCATATAATTAAAATTTGCCTTCTGTGGTGCTTAATTATAACTCAAGGAAGACTATAAATTCCTTCAGGTCAGAGTTAGGCTTGTTCCTCTGTTATGCATTCTAGAAAGTACTTTATGCATGCCATTAAAAAAATGAGTGAATGAAATTTTGTTGGCTTTGCTAATAAGGGGCTTACTCTCATTTGGGGGTATCAGCTCACATTCCTCTGCAGAGTTCTCCCTTGCCACCCTCTCTTCTGTAATCATTTCACCTCTCCCTTCTTCATATATCCTGCTAACTCATTGCTCCATATACCAATCACAATAGGTAATTTTCTTAGTTATTTGTCTCCTCCACCATGAATATAAATCCATTAGGTTGGTGACTTTCTGTGTCTTACTGTTTCCTATATATCTAGACTCAGAACAGCACATAGATCTCAATAAATGTTTCTTGAATCTCTGCTCTAGCTTATTATTAGCATCCTTATATTAAATATCTGAGGCATTGTTATTTAAAACTTTCCTAGTTATAAATAGTGTGAAATACAAGCTCTCTTTTAAGTTAAGAGGAAAAAATCTAGAATTAAGGATACAGAGATCATCCCGACTAAATTTCTCAATTTACAGTTGTAGAAACTGACCTGACACTGAGAGGAGGAGATTTACACCTAGTCAGTCTGTTTCTCCATGCCTGTCCTTTCCCACTCTGTTGTACTTCTCTGATTCTTTTCCCCTAGAAAACTCGGATTTCTAGTCTAAATCCCAGGCTGTTGTGATTATCCCACCATTTTTCCAATGAGCTCCACCTTAACCTTGACAGGGGGAGTAGTACAGCTTAAACTGCTATTAACTTTATTATTATCCTGAAAACTCTCTGAAGCTGACAGTTTTAATTTTAAGGCTCTTTTTTTCCTCTTCTCAGAAAAACACTTGGTTCTGCTTCGAGATGGAAGAACACTTATAGGGTTTTTAAGAAGCATTGATCAATTTGGTATGTATTAATTATAGACTTCTTCTCTTGTATTCTCTTATACTCTGGATGATAAGAGCTGCCCAATGCATATTTTGTCTTTTATTTCATGTTGAAATTTATTGGCGATTTTTTCACATTTTGGCATAATGGAACTGTTTTGAGGGAGTACCTCATTGTTCTCTGTTACAGTTTAGGTCGCTCATAAGCTTTTTGTGTTTCTCCCACTAGAGGGAGCCAAATGATAGGCATAAACTGAAAAGGCTGCTAGTTTGCACATTGGCTTGGTTGTGACTTTTCAAAACATTCCTGTGCTGAAGATAATCCTTCTCTATCCAGTGAAAATGGGAGAGAATGTGTTTCCTGAAGCTTTTTAGGGACCGCAAAATTAAGATAAGTATTTTACATATAGGGATATATCAGACTCAGAATTTTTTTTTGCATTCTGCATTTTTCCAAAGTAAGAAATGTATGTTACTTTCTTTTTTGTTTCTTTGGCTTTTCAGTTCTCTTGAGACAGAGTTTCACTCTGTTACTCAGTCTAGAGTGCAGTGGTGTTGTCATAGCTCATTACACCCTCAAACTCCTGGCCTCAATCCTGCCTCAGCCTCCAGGCGCACCCCTCTACACCCAGCTAAGATTGTCTGTTTTTAGTGAAGATGGAGTCTTGGTCTTCCTCAGGCTAATCCTGGACTCCTGAACTCAAGCAATGCTGCCACCTCAGCTTCCTATTACATTACCTTCTGTTTCAAAGGAACTTTTAAGTTCCTGTCAACATTTGTTGAATATCTGCTAAGTAACTGGATTTGGACATGAGAAAAAAAATGACTAAAATATAAGAATTATAGAAAATATGAACATAGATTTCTGTTTTACTTCAGAAATAGGGCAACTAATACTAGTTGGAGAAGAAAAATAATTTTTCTTAACCAATTGGAGTTCCAAATCTTTTTTTTTGAGACAGAGCCTCAAGCTATCCCCCTGGGTAGAGTGCCATGGCATCACGCTCACAGCAATCTCCAACTCCTGGGCTCAAGCGATTCTCCTGCCTCTGCCTCCCAAGTAGCTGGGACCACAGGCGCGCGCCCTGCTATTTTTTGGTTGCAGCCGTCATTGTTGTTTGGCGGGTCCGGGCTGGGGATTTGAACCCGTCACCTTAGGTGTACGTGGCTGGCGCCTTAGCCGGTTGGGCTATAGGCGCCGAGCCTGGAGTTCCAAATCTTAAGTCAAATTCATCAGAATACTTTGAGAGGAAAGTAGTGAATATTGATTTTACACTCAGATTATCGTGTATGGTTGTCTGACCGGGTGGAAAATAGATTTTTGCTGTTTCCTAATCCATGAATACCTGTATTGGGTTAAATGAATCCTAAGTACTGAAACAAAGTTAAAACTTACGTTAAATCATCACATACCCACAAAGCAAAGAAAAACTCTACCTTCCAAAACCCAAAATTTTAATATGTGCAGTTGTTTAGGCTCAAGTTTTCTGAGTTTCCTATTGATTTATATTTTCTTGTGGCCATGTTGATGTTAGCAATTAATTGATAAAGAAATTTAGTTTCTTAACTTATTCCTACCATTATTCATGTATTAGCATAACATAATCCCGAATATTTTCTCAGTTAGTTGTTTAAAAGTCTCTTCAGTGATATGTCTTACTTACTGAAATACAAGAAAATTATTTTAAATTTTATCTTTCCCCAGAATTAGAAAGTTTAGAAATCATGTTTTGCTAAATCTTTTCTAGTCAAAATAAATGGTTAACTGAGTTATAGACCTTACCCAGTAATTTGAACTAAATATCTTTGTTTCTTCCCTATACACTTATAGCTAACTTAGTGCTACATCAGACTGTGGAGCGTATTCATGTGGGCAAAAAATACGGTGATATTCCTCGAGGAATTTTTGTGGTCAGAGGAGAAAATGTGGTCCTACTAGGAGAAATAGTAAGTGAAAACTGTTAAGCTGCTATGGATCTTGATATTCGTGCCAGTTAGGTTTCTGTTTTTGTATTTTGAAGAGGGAAAAACAGTATTTTCCTCATTTCACCCAGCGTTTCACAGGCAACCACCGCATTAGTTTAGGAAAGCTGCACTTGTAGATGGGAAGCTACAGCGAATACTTAACTTTGTTTCAGTGCCTTTTGGCATTTTAAAGATTTTTGTTTCACTGACAGCAAAATATCTTTGGTTTTAACCTGATGTCATTAAAAATACTATCCGACATAAATGTGTTTGTAGCAGAAAATTGAAAAACCTATGTGTTGAAAAAAACATAATTTGTATATGTTGGAGTATTTCACAATTATTTAAACAAGTGGTTACAAGTAGGCTTTCATGACACAGGTTAATTCACAGTTTTGAGGGAAGGACACATTGCATATACAGTCCAATATGATGACTTTTTTTAAATTTTGAGATAGAGTCTTACTCTGTCACCATTGGTAGAGTGCTGTAACGTCATAGCTCACAGCAACCTCAAACTCCAGGGCTCAAGAGCTCCTCTTGCCTCAACCTCCCGAGTAACTGGGACTACAGGCACCCAGCTAATTTTTCTAATTTTAATAGAGACAGGGTCTTGCTCTTGCTAAGGCTTACCTCAAACTCCTGATCTCAAGCAATCCATCCACCTTGGCCTCTAAGAGCGTTAGGATTATAGACGTGAACCACTGCACCCAGCTAATGATGACCATGTTTTTAAAGGGGAAAGATTTGTCTTACCCTTTTTTCTTTCTAGGCAATATACCAAGGACAACAAAGTGAAACTCTGTCTCAAAATGCAGCGCCTGTGGCTCAAAGGAGTAAGACACCAGCCCCATATGCTGGAGGTGGCAGATTCAAACCCAACCCTGGCCAAAAACCACAAAGAAAAAAAGGGTAGCGCCTGTGGCTTAGTGAGTAGGGCGCCAGCCCCATATAGGGTAGCAGGTTCAAACCCGGCCCCGGCCAAACTGCAACAAAAAAATAGCTGGGCATTGTGGTAGATGCCTATAGTCCCAGCTACTCGTGAGGCTGAGGCAGGAGAATCGCCTAAGCCAGGAGTTGGAGGTTACTGTGAGCTATGACGCCACGGCACTCTACCGAGGGCAATAAAATGAGACTCTGTCTCTTAAAAAAAAAAGATAGCCAGGTGTTGTGGCAGGCACCTATAGTCCTAGCAACTTGGGAAGCTAAGGCAAGAGGATCGCTTGAGCCCAAGAGTTGGAGGTTGCTATGAGCTATGACAATTATGGCAATCTACCAAGGACAACAAAGTGAAACTCTGTCTCAAAAAAACAAAACAAATAAAAATAGCCAGGTATTGTGGCAGGCACATGTAGTCCCAGCTACTCGGGAGGCTGAGGCAAGAGAATCACTTGAGCCCAATAGTTGGAGGTTGCTTTGAGCTATGACGCCATAGCACTCTACCAAGGACAACAAATTGTCTCCCCCTAAAAATAAAAAATCTTCTCCTTATATTATGCAAAGGTTGGAATAAAGTACCTAGTATCTAAGTGTAGGTAGTAAGTAAATGACTGTAAAGTATTCATGAAGGATTGTGGATTTTTGTTTTAATACTTTATTGAATTTATTTTTAAAGAGGCAACATCAGGGAAAAGGACTAAAATTAAAATATACATACTCTGCTTCAGTTTTATAGTAGTAAACACAGTGGACAAGCTTTTTGTGCCAGTTACATTGGCACAAAGGTGCATCTAATATAGAAATATGTATATGTGCAGAGAAAGAAGTGTACATTTGGTCGGGCACGGTGTCTCACACTTGTAATCCTAACACTCTGGGAGGCCGAGGCAGGTGGATCACCTGAGCTCAGAGGTTCCAGACCAGCCTGAGCAAGAGCAAGACCCCTTCTCTAAAATTAGCTGAGCATTGTGGCGGGCGCCTATAGTCCCAGCTACTTGGGAGGCTGAGGCAAGAGAATCGCTAGAGCCGGAGTCTAAGGTTGTGAGCTGTGATGACACAGCACTCTACCAACAGCAACAAAGTGAAACTCTGTCTCAAAAAACAAAAAGGTGAACATTTGTTTTTGCAAACTGTTTCCTGGCTCGGCGCCTGTGGCTCAAGTGGCTAAGGTGCCAGCCACATGCACCTGAGGTGGTGGGTTCGAATCCAGCCCGGCCCACCAAACAACAATGATGGCTGCAACCAAAAAAATAGCCAGGCGTTGTGGCAGGCGCCCGTGGCCCCAGCTACTTGGGAGGCTGAGGCAGGAGACTCGCTTGAGCCCAGGAGTTGGAGGTTGCTGTGAGCTGTGATGCCATAGCACTCTACCGAGGGTGACAGCTTGAGGCTCTGTCTCAAAAAAAAAAGAAAAAAAAGAAAAAGAAAACTTTTCCTGGGGTTTGTTTTGTGAGAAAAAATACTGTTTTTTAGTAGTTATGGTTTGAATCCTGCAGAAGTTTCACGGTAGAACCACTGTAGAAACATAGGTCAGGAATGCTAACGTGGTTATATGAATCAATGTGCCAACCCCAAGGAAACTCAGACCCAGATACTAGAAACATTACATTGCCTAAGGAGTTCTTGGATCTGCCTCAAGGACGATTATGCACATGGCCTTAAGTAATAAGACTGGCTATTTGGAATCAGCAGCAGCATAACCACATGAATAGCTCAATGAATTACATGATGAAAAACCCAAGAGGCAGTATCCTAAACCAAGAATACTATCTTCTCTCCAGTTGCTCCCGTGGGTTGTGAGGGCAGGTGTTAAGTGACACTGCATATCTTGCAGATGCTATTAACTTTTTTTTTTTTTTTTTTTTTTTTGCAGTTTTTGGCCAGGGCCGGGTTTGAACCCACTGCCTCCGCAGTATGTGGGGCCGGCACCCTATTCCTTTGAGCCACAGGCGCCACCCCAGATGCTGTTAACTTTTGACCTATGGCTTTCATTCTCAGCTCTCTGGTAAAAGTCCTCCTATTGATTAATGCCACTGCTTGTGGGTTGTGCCACTGGCCTTATGTGACAGTCTCCATGCTGGAATATCTCTATATGTGTCAGCACCTTCCCAGACTTGAACTGAAAGTCATAGGGGATGATAAGAAAGAGGGGTACTTTGTATAGGCTTTTCATGGTACAAAAACATAGTAATTCCTGTACCTTCATTTCAAGGGAAATAAACTGAATCTGTGGATAGTGAGATACTTTTTCAGCGAGGTTCTTCTGCATTATGAAATTGATAATCAAAGCTCGGCGCCCATAGCTCAGCGACTAGGGCACCAGCCGCATACACGGAGGCTGGCAGGTTGGAGCCCAGCCCCGGCCTGCTAAACAATGACAACTACAACCAAAAAATAGCCAGGTGTTGTGGCAGGCGCCTATAGTCCCAGCTACTCAGGAGGCTGAGGCAAGAGAATCGCCTAAGCCCAAGATTTTAAGGTTGTTATGAACTGTGATGCCATAGCACTTTACTAAGGGCAACATAGTGAGACTCTGTCTCAAAAAAATAAATAAATAAAATTGATAATCAAATGTTTATAAAGGGTTCAAAAATGAAAATATTACACATATTATACCATATTAAGTGAAAAAAAATTAGCATCAATATCTGCATTATGGGCCAGGCACAGTGGCTCACACCTATAATCCTAGCACTCTGGGAGGCCAAAGCAAGTGCATTGCCTGAGCTCACGAGTTCGAGACCAGCCTGAGCAAGAGCAAAACCCAGTCTCTAAAACTAGCTTAATCAACGTTGTGGTAGGCACCTATAGTCCCAGCTACTTGGGAGGCTGAGGGAAGAGACTTACTTGAGCCCAAGAGTTTGAGGTTGCTGTTAGCTTTGACACCACAGCACTCTACCAAGGGCAACAAAGTAAAACTCTGTTTCAGAAAAAAGAAAAGAATTGTGTTATGGTATTTTTAGTCAGTAGAAAAGTCACCTAGAAAAGCTATAGAGATACTCACCAAAATGTTAATCCTCCCTATTGGAGTTATGGGTAATTTTCCTTGTTTGTCTAACTTTCCTACAATGACCATGTATTTTTGAAATAAGGAGAAAAATAATTTTTTAATTAAGCCAAAAATTTTTAATTAATATATTGGGACCAAACTAATTTAGTAACCTAACTGGTCTGCTGAGGTTTTCTCTAGAAAGCTTGTTGCTATAGAGGGGAAAGGAGCCTTGTGTTTTAATGTAGAAACTTTCAAGCCAGGTGTAGTAATACACACCTGTAGTCCTAGCTACTCAGGAGGCTGAAGCAGGAGGATCCCTTAACCCAGGAGTTTGAGGCTAAGCCTTGGCAAAATAGCAAGACCCTGTCTCTAAAAGATTTTTTAAAAAACTTACCTAAAGGCATTTTGCTTCAATAACTTCTCTCTTGGATTCTCTATAGTTGGGGAGATAGGTGTCTATAAGCAAATTTAGTAATTTTTAGTTAATCATTGACTAATACAAAGTTAATCATAAGTAATAATAGGATTTTGGAAAATGTAAGGAGATATTCTGTAGTAGTGTTGTCAACCATTTCTTTGAAAAACTTACGTGTACATAGACGAAGGATATTTCAGCACTATCACAGTTATGAAAAATGATCCAAGCCTGATGAGGAATCCATTTGCCTATAGATATGTAATATTTTCTATTTTCTTTTTCTGAGACAAGAGTCTGACTATGTTGCCCTAGGTAGAACGTGCCATGGCATCACAGCTCACAGCAACCTCAAACTCTCGGACTTAAATGATTCTCTTGCCTCAGCCTCCCAAGTAGCTGGGACTGCAGGCGCCCACCACAACACCTGGCTATTTTTTGGTTGTGGTTGTCGTTGTTTGGCAGGCCGCAGCTGGGTTTGAACCCACCAGCTCCAGTATATGTGGCTGGCACCCTAAATACTGAGCTACAGGCGCCAAGCCATGTTTTCTATTCTTAATCTTCAGGTCATGTTTTTCAAACCTGCTTCTTTTGCAGGACTTGGAAAAGGAAAGTGACACGCCCCTCCAACAAGTGTCTATTGAAGAAATCCTAGAAGAGCAAAGGGTGGAACAGCAAACCAAGTTGGAAGCAGAGAAGCTGAAAGTTCAGGCTCTGAAGGACCGAGGCCTTTCCATTCCTCGCGCAGATACTCTTGATGAGTACTAAGTCCTGTGCTCAGAGGCTGTTGCCCTTAACTAGCGGGGGCTGTCCCTGAAGGAAATCACATCCTGGTCACCTCACACATCGGTCCAGAGACTGTAGAATTTTGAAAAGTCATTTTTATTTTTAGTTCTTCCACATATGTAACATGAAGAAATCATGTGGACTTTTTGGTTTTTTAAATAACAAAATCATTGTTTAAAGAAACAGTGGCATGGACTCATTTCACACGTCACTGTGGAGCCAGCAACTACTGTTCTTTATATTGTTCTCCTTAAATTAGAGTTTACAGGGGACAGTCTTCATTTACTTGTAAATAAAATATGAATATAAAAACTGTTGTGTTATTTCCCAACTTTGAGTTGCCTCCAATGAATAAACAAATTTCTGCTGTCAAAGATATAAATAGTTCACACACTGCGATTTCCCTGATCAGTCACTATTCCACATAGCTGGCTACTCAGGAAGGACTATTTAATACTAATTATCCTGGAGGTCCTCCCCTCTTCCCTTCTCATATTTTTATCTTGTAAGAAAAATTTTGGCTAAGTACCTGTAGCACAGTGGTTATGGCACCAGCCGCATACATGGAGGCTGGTGAGTTCAAACCCGGCCTGGGCCAGCTAGACAATGACAACTGCAACAAAAAATAGCTGGGTATTGTGGTGGGTGTCTGTAGTCCCAGCTACTAGGGAGGCTGAGGTGAGAGAATCACTTAAGCCCAAGAGTTTGAGGTTGCTGTGAGCTGAGACGTCATAGCACTTTACTGAGGGCAACATAATAAAACTCAAAAAAAAAAAAGGGCAGCGCCTGTGGCTCAAAGGAGTAGGGCACCAACCCCATATGCCAGACGTGGCTGGTTCAAACCCAGCCCTGGCCAAAAACTGCAAAAAGAAAAATTAAAAATTTTCAGGCTTGGCTTGGCACCTGTGGCTCAAGCAGCTGAGGCGCCAGCCACGTACACCTGAACTGGCAGG